TCGATCCGATCTTTTTAGCATAYAGACAATACAAACATTTAACCTAAAGAGTGCCTGTTAAGTAAAAAACAAAGATTGTAGCAAACCTTTATTTCTGTCAAATTCAATGAGAGGTCAGTCATTAAGCGCTGTGAGTGAATATTTTTCTCGATCTTTGGTGTAAAGGCCAACACAATCTGGGATGGTTCTGTAATCATCGACAGTGAGGGCATCTGTAGCGGAAGAAWTTCGACAGACAATTGAGTTTTACAACTGTCAGCATTGAATCATAATTATAGAATGATATAATATTATAAAATGATCTCCACCACAAAATAAATCTCAGCTTTTAGCATAAGAAGTCGAGGACTTACCATGTCAGCCAAAATCCAATGATGAGCCCTTTCAGCAGTTCTTGAGCGAGTACTGTGKACCTGGTAATTATTAGTAATTATTAGAGTGATTTTAAAATTTAATGTCGAATCTCACAACTGATCTAAATCATTCCTGCACTTTATATGACAATTATATGATAATTAAATAATTGGTTTGCATTTTCTAATATTGTATTTGAGTGGATTCCAAATAAAAATGGTAAAAAAGATAATGAAGAAAAAACAAACAAACAAAAAAAAAAACAATATCATAAGTATCTATATTAATTAGAATCAATTATGATCGTTTCGACTCATATTCCAAGTATATATAAAATATATCAGAAATTATAGGATATCATATTGTTTTTCAGAAAGTGCTAGTGCTGGACAATCCCCAAAAAATATTGGCCATTATATCCCATAATTTCTGATAAATCTTACATCTTAGAATATGAGTCAAAATGATCATAACTTTTGCATATTTCAGTATGTAATGTATAAAATATGAGCGGGAGACCTTTATGGTCATTAAAAACTGCAATCTGCAAGCGAGCAGTTTTAGAGCTCATAAAGGTCAAATTCCAACATAAGCTAAAGCATATTTTGCTAAAAACTTTAAGACAGAATATCACTTTTAAGAGAAAATCCAATTTAAAGTCGTATGGGGATCAGGGCAAATCTCTTGGTCATACGAAGATGATTTTTGATATTGTGCTTGCATTATGAATTATTATGAATTTGATAAAATAGAAATAATGCATAAACTTTACTATTTAATACTATCTCATACCTGTTCCATTACTATAGTGACAAACTCTGCGTCACAAAAGAGTACAATAGCCTCCACAAGTTTATTATTGATTTTCCKCAGTTTYTCYTTCGTTGCGTCGAATAGCTTGCCTTGTTGGTCTAGAATAATTTCCAACGGCTCGCGTACCACGTTTGAAGAYAGAATTTCTAGGAAATTTGCCGCTTGGTCACTCCAACGCACTGAAATGTAAAACAATGTGTTCTCGAAGTCACCATACANATGTAAATAGCCTAGCACTTAGCCTTTTGTTCTATACCATGTATATATATCTAGATTATAGGAATGTTTATCATTAAATACTGTCTGATGAGTGCGTAGCACGAAACTCGGAGTTACAGCAAAATCTTGCCTCGTTGATATAATATATATATATAACTAGCTCTACACTTTATGTGTATTGAGCACTCTTTAATGGGATCAGCTACTTCCTCATACGATTATTTATTTAATTTATATATTTATACTATTTTCTTTTCAAATATCCTCCTTTTTTCGTCTACAGTAACTTACAAATACAAGAAGGAGATGRGTGRCATGKGGGTTTGTSRWTWTATTAAGGTAATAATCATGCAGCCGAGTTTTTTTGTTACCATACCAGRCAGCTCAGTTGCTTTCTTAATGTTTTAGGGTCATTACCACCWWACATTGTCATGTAMAGACCAAAATGCYCAAGAAGTTATTTGCCTCATGTGGACCTTCTGTTGGATATAGTAAAGCCTCTCGACAATAACAGATTCCTTCTTAACTGCAACAACAACAACTTTCTAAAGTGTAGAATTGTTATTTCATGCTCAATTTAACCCCACTTATATAAAGGTTCAAACACTAGGGCGAGGGTTTTCATTGAAATTCAAGACCGAGGGCCGAAGGNGCGAACGAATTAAATAAAAGAAAAGGAAAAAAAAATCGCTCATGTAGTACAAGCACTGCACAATAATTATCTGAGAGGTAGGTTGATAAATGAGTGAATGGATAATATTATGAAAGTATTCGTTTCCGTAATACTCTCGAGTAAAACAATGCATGTTCATTCTTGACAGGAGGAATCTATGCCTTGCTCAAATTGGAAGCATTTCCTAAACACGTTTCATGCCGCGGAACGCCAGTTATTTCACTTGAAGCATCTATTACTCCAAGTAAGAAAACATTAAGTGCATGAAAATGTTTCGTAATGCTAATAATTCAGGCCCGTAACCAGGGGGATGCACTGAGTACAAGGATACCTCCCATCTCCCCCCCTCCCGCCCCCCTCATTCTGGTTACAGCCCTGTTATTTCTACGTAAATAGAAAAAATAGAAGCTTTTTCATAGCTTACTGTGACAATAAAATGATACTAATGGGGATACCAATTCAGAAGATTTAGGGTAAACCATTGTCCTTGTTCGTCTTGATTTCATGTTTGATGGATTGATAGATTTGATAGGTGGATTGATACATTTTAATTCACTGATTTATGACATTTATTGATCGACCAGATGACGGCTTTTCATTAAATGAATTATTGGTTGAATTGACGTTTAGTATTTTTTTTTACCAACAGAGTCGAACATACTTTACCTCCAATGTATAGCTAGCATAAAATGGAACGGTGTGGTCATCAAGTCATCGCTTAGTGCAGATGCTTGCGAAATGAAATATTTAGATTGCCCTTTGATAAAAGGAGGTAAGTTAAGTATACAGCTATGTAGCTATGCGAATATCTAATCAATATCACAGATGTTTATACTATTTCAAAAACGGTTGTCGCGGATAAAATGGCGAATGTCAATGGTCGAACGGCAATTGCGCGACCAAAAGTAGTCATGGGGTTTTGCTAGTTGAAAAGCAGAAGCAACTGAGTTGTACTGTAAGATAAACTGTGGTTAACATTGGCTCCATTTATTCTGCATTCTAGGTATAGTGAATCCAATATAAGTGAAACTTTGCTGTGTAACTATGTCCCTTTCGGTCGTGCAATCTACCTTCGACAATCGTCGTTCGCCGTTCTCCCCGTCAATGTTGCTTGAAATAGCTGTATATTTATTTAATTTATATATATATATATGATATCAACGAGGCAAGATTTTGCTGTAACTCCGAGTTTCGTGCTACGCACTCATCAGACAGTATTTAATGATAAACATTCCTATAATCTAGATATATATACATGGTATAGAACAAAAGGCTAAGTGCTAGGCTATTTACATACAATACGTGATAGTTATGTTGGAAACAATAGGTGTGAAGGTAAAAATTACAAAGGAGAGTATACTATTAATTAAAACTGCGTAGGTGTGAATACAATAGGCTGTAGAGGTGTCAAGTGTTCTTCAGGTAGAATTTGTTTTCGTGTCGGCATTTAGAGATGAGTTCTGATCTTTTGTTTAGTATATTGTCGTTACTGTGTTTAATTATCATAAGTTTTTCTGTAAGGCAGAGGTCGCATCGTTTGGATATGTTGTTGTAGGGTCTTGCACGGCTGATAATTGTCCATTTGATGTTGAAGTCTTGTTTTTTGTCTTTTAGTTGCCAGATGTACTTAGAAAGTTCGGTGCTGTTGATGTGTTTTCTGTGTTTAAATGTAGATTTGTGCTGCGAGAATCTTTGTTTGAATGTTCCTTCTGTCAGTCCGATGTAGTTCTTGGTTGTGTTGCTGGTTGTGACTTGCGCGTTGTAGATTACACTGGAAGTTAAGCATTTGTTGTCTAGCGGGCATTGGTCTTTATTGCGGCAGTTGCATTGTTCTCCGGTGGTTGCGTTGGCGTTGTTGTCGGCGTTTGTTACTTTCATGTTGTGTTTGTTGATAACTGTTTTCATGTTGTCCATACAGCTGTAGCTGACTTTTACGTT